AGAAATGGATTTTTACATGAACATTGTCCTTTAAGTCACCGATTATCATAACTTTTCCATCTTGAGAATAATTACCAACATCTTGTTGTAATTCATCAAAAATATTCACATCGTATACATCGTAATATTTTGTGTTTTCAGGAGGTATATAACAAAAAAAAATAAAGACATCCTTTAAATGACCCACAGCATGACCTTTTAATTTAACCCATACATAAGTATCAAAACCTATTTTAGCAATTTCATACTTGCCCATCAAATGTTTTTTAAAATATAATACTAGTCCACCACCTTTTGATTTTTTCCTTTGTATGATAAATGGGTCACAAAAGCCCTCAATCTTGAGGTTATCAAAATCATGATTAGAGACCCAGCATTCACTTAATGCAACAATATCAAAATAAAGCAGATAATCAATCAGCTCACGATTTTCAAGTTTTTCCACCAAGCATCTAGCAATATTCCATGAGCAAACCCTTAAATGTCCATCCACGTGTCCCTATGGTCCAGTGTACAATTTTCCATCCACATATAACTTGTTGTATGATATATATGCCCGCTGGTTGTTTTTCCTGGCTTCTTTCAGAGCTGGGAGTAGCTTTTTACGCTGTTCCGTAATTTCCGGTGGGAACTGCTGGTTAACAAAGTGATCAGTTCCCTTTAGATTCTTTGAATATTCCCGTACTTCCTCACGGTCCTTGTAACGAACGAACTTGGCAATAATTGGTCTAGGACCCCTGATTTTCGATTTATCTCCCATCCTATGCACACGGTCAAACTCGATCAATTTCACCTTGTCCTTATTTATTTTCATTTTTTCAACCATGAACTTTCGAAGGGTCTCCTCTGATTTTGTTGGATTCTCATCACCGACTTCATCAATTTTTGTGAAGATTAAATTATCTCTCATTGATCTTGCTTTCAAATCAGACAGTTGCTCTACAAAACTTCTCATGTTCCTGCTCCATTTTTACGAATTTGGTGGTCAAATTATCTTGCCTGTGTGCCATTTCCGTCACGTTTCTGTTTATCTTATCAATACTTTGCACCATACTTTCGTGTATTTGTTTTAAGTCTCCTCTAAATTGGGACACTTCATGTTCTAGCGCACCAAGTGCAAGTCTGGACCTTCAGGGCCTGTTTGTTCACAATGAATTTGAAGTCCTAGCTAATATGCACTGACTCCATGGAAACTGGCTGAATGCAATCAAATTAACACATTCTGTTCTTTCAGGTGATACCAAAGAAGAGAACAATGTAGCAATTGTTAATACCCTTAATATTGAGGAGCTAGGTAAGGCTGGAATCTCAGTAGAATAATTATGATTTTAAAATACTTATGAAACATGTATGCACACACACATACACTAACAAACCCACACACACACACACCTTCATTACACACTGCAAGCATGTTGCAAATTATTGTCTTATGCATACTTTAGAAGATAATTTATTTATTTTTAGTCAGTTAAGTCTTTTAATGTGTCTTCAACCAATTGTAATACTGAATCCTATTTGAACTTGCACAGATATAGAATGTTAAAATTTTATTTGGTATGATTTTTTCTTCAGCTGATATCAAAGACACAAAGAGTGTGTCAGATCCTAAGGGCATCAAAGAAAATGGTAAGACAGTAAGGTCAATTTAACAGGAATTCATTAACACACACAAGCGAAATTTAGGGTGGAAACTTTCATGCACAAACACCGAGTTTAAATTCACTGTTCAGTTATGTAAATCTTTGAAGGTGTCCTTGACTAGGTTAAATAATGTACTGTTTCCTTGTTGTGCACATGTATGGGATGTTTAATTTGTTTTCATTTCTTTCATCAGTCAGATGCAGACACACACACATGCACACAAAGACAAACAAGGATAGTACTTGTACACATGTTGCACAAGCAAAGTCTGGTATTTGACAGACTTCAAAAATTAATGCTTTTTCTGTGTAAAGATTGAACACACATAATGTTGTCTTTAAATTTCAATTCAATTCTGTTCTTTCAGATGATACCAAAGTCAAGAAAAATGTTAAAATTGTTAAGACCCTAAGTATTGTGGAGATAGGTAAGACAGGAAACTCAGTAAAATAAGTTTGACTTTTAATATACTTATGACACATGCATGCACACACACGCACATTTATACACATCGCAATCATGTTGCTCAAACAAAGTCTGGTCTTTAGCATTCTTAAGAAGATAAGTTTTAATGTCAGTGAAATCTTTGAATGTTCTTAACAAATTGTAATGCCGAGTTCTATTTGAAAATGCACAGATATAGAATGTTAAAATTTTATTTGATATCATTTTTTCTGCAGCTGATATCAAAGACACAAAGAGTGTATCAGATGCTGGGGGGCATCAAAGAAAAAGGTAAGACAGTAAGGGCAATTTAACAGGAATTCATTTAAAACACTTACAAAATGTAAACACTCAGATGGACCTTAGGGTGGAGACTCTTACGCACAAACACTAAGATAAAATTTACTGTTCAGTTATCTAAATCTTTCAGTGTATCTTTGACTTTGTTAAATAATGTATTGAATCCTTGTTGTGCACATGTATGGGATGTTTAATTTGTTTTCCTATCTTTCTTCAGTCACTTTCAAGGACACAACAACCCTGACAGAGGACGTGAAGGAGAGAGGTAAGATATCGGGGTCAATAGAATAAGGATTTATTTATTACACTGACGGAATGTGTTGTGCATGCAACTTGCAAGCATGCGCACGCACACACACACACTGCATATTGATGTGTATGGCCTTTATTCAAGTAGTTTTAATTGTCTTATTTGTTTATTTTAAATAATTGTAAAAGATTTTCAGTACAGTTGCATGCATGAAATAATGTGGTATACTAACTACATATTGAAGGTTATATATTATTGCATATTAGTAAGTAATATTGTGTCATATATTTCAGCTCCCAAGGACAGACGCCAATCTAGGTGGAGAAGATTTTTAAGTCTTTTTACGTCTTGCTTCAGACGAAGATCAAGAACATAAATGGTTATTATTATTTTTGCCGTTGTTATTTTTGTTGTTGTTATTAAATAAATAGACGTCAGGCAAGCAGCCAGCACTTTACTTTTATCTACAATAAATGAAATACACCATTATTTGATTTCTGATTCAAGTTTATCTCCAATTTTAATTTTTAAATTTCTTCTATCAAACTTAAGAATTAAACTACACATTGCACAAACATTTAACTATACTCAAATACATACATAAACACTCATATTCATATACCATACCATACTGCTCAATTACTTTTTTTTATTATTAAGCATACAAAGGAATTGTACAAAATATTGTCAATAATATCAGTAATATCAATCATCATACAGCATTTCGTAAACATATTTAAAATATATACAGATTACTGATTACAACAGATAAACTAAGGTTATCATAAAATGCAAAAAATTAGTACCAAATACACAAAAGATCTCATCCATTTTCTTTATCATGTATAACCTTAAATATAACAAAAAATTTTATATATATATATATATATATATATATATATATATATATATATATATATATATCTCATGAAAGACAGAATGGAAAAAACAAAGATTATGGGGACCCCACCCATCCAACAAGTTATCTTTTTATTTTACGCAGCAATAGTAGACTATGAAACATGACAAAACTATGATATGCACTTATTGGTAAAATTGGAGTTACAGTAAACAAACACATACTTTGAAAAAAATGCTTTGAAAAAAGTAATAGACGCAAACCATCTTAATTCAACTAGAAAACAAATGAAAGCCATTGAAATCATTAAAGGTTCCATATATATATATATATATATATATATATATATATATATATATATATATATATATCCCCCACCCATGGTTAGATAAAAAAATTAAGGAATTAGTTCTTTTTTAAAACATCCACACCATCCTAAAACTATGTTATTAATAGAATATGATACTGCCATACAATGTATCTATTCCTGTTAAATTAAACCAGTAATCCATATTTCCAACAACAGTTTTTTTACTTTTATAGCTTGAGATTCACAAAAAAATTTTTTATTAACATCTACACCCATTTAAAACAGTGTAATTTATTCAATTATTAGAGTGTTATACAAAGTTTATCAAATCAAACCAATTCAATGTGGTGTAGACAATAATTCAACAACTTAAGCTTCACAAAACCATAATTAAAAAGTTTATTTTGCTGGTGAGCAACCAGAAAAGAAATTTAATCACTTGATTGTCTCAGTTAGTGGGTCAAAGTTTAAACACACAATACAGCCCCACACATTTTGATATTTAATTTTGGAAGAAAAAACAAAAACAAGTTTTACATCAGTCTCTTGTGATAACACACAAATCTTCTAATGGGACTATCATAAAAGTTGTGGAAAAAATTATAAAAAATATTAATGCTAAATATCAGTGTTGCCTGATATAAAACTGACTTGACACCAGAAAACTATGGAACTTGACATGCTACACTAATTATTTCTTTGATCCAAATTACTGCTGAGTTTTAAGTCAATTTGAGAATAAAAACATGTCTTAGTTCTACTGGTCAAGATCTGCATTAGATGAAGTACATCAGATTTGTCCTTGCTGTCATGCTGATAGGAAGGTGGTCTCCTAGGTTTCTCTTCAGTTGATGAATCTGGAAAAATGTCAATATTTCTTCAGAAGATATCCATCCCTTTAATTCATCAAAATGTCTTTAAATAAAGAAATCTTTACACTGTAAAAGAATATATCAAATACCCAATTATTTTTGTTGATGTTAATTAAATCTAACTGCAGGAATCATTTCAGTGAGCAAAATGTGACACTTTTTTATTTTGTCCACTATGCAGATAAGGCAACTGCTCCTGACATAAGTATTTGATTAAATTGATTAATTAATTAATACCACAAGAAGCAGTATTACCGCAGTTGTCAGCTGTTGTACCATTTAGTCTGGAGTTTGTTTGTTACTCTGATCTCCATGACAACAGATCCAGATGATCGTCTGCAAACACATCAAAGATGGCGTCCAGAGCCTCAGCAACCACCCACAATTCCTGGTCCTTTCTCACGACTTCCACAAGAAATGAGCCAAAATTCTGACAGAAAAAACAACTCAACATCAAAACTGGCAAAAATAGAGACCAAACAGCAACCAAAATTTCAACAACATTAGCAAAAGAGTTTTAAAAATTCTAAAAGCAATCAAAGTGTTCCCTTTAACAACAGGTAAAAGAATTAAATGATTTTTACTCTTCACAACATTGTGAACAATTTATAGAAATATAATATATTCTGTTTTACCACAAAAACGGCAGTTATAGCTATTATTCTGATATTTGAGCTTGTCTTAAGACCACATGACCTCCATTAATGGCTATACTCTGTTATAATCTCTTAAGACATTATAACAAAAAAAAAAAAAAAAAACCTTTTAAACAGAAACCAGGGACTAACTTTAAATGTAAAAATGGATTCATTAACCATTGGTATGTATGGGAAAATTGTTGTTTACTCCAGGAAAATTCATTTTTTGGTCAAAATGAAGAGTTATTACCCCTTTAAAAAAAGTCCATTCTTGCTCCTTTTTGAAAGTAAAATGCCTTGGTGGAGATAATGAATAAAGTTGTCATACCTATAACTGAACTAAATTTTTTATAAATTTCTTAACCTGAACAGGTAGAGTAGTCAGGGGGTGTGTGGGTTCCCTTTTTTTCTGGGGAAATGTTCCATCTTAGTAAAATTTTATCTAAGTACACGAAGATTGCATGGTAAACGGTCAATTTTTCAGAAAAAGAACCTCCTTTTTGAAACTGCTGGCTGCTGAAGGGTTTTATAAATTGAATTAATTGAATGACTTATCACATCATCTACAGAACCAGCCTGACATGTGTGACAAATACAAACTAACTGATGAAATCACTTCTTGTCTTTTAACTAGTAGCTAGATGTGAGCTTGATGGAATGTCATGTTACATGTTTACCAATGCTTAGTGAAGTAATAACAGATAATTATATGCAGTGGGAATTGTGCAGATAACATCTTTAAATTATGGCACCTGAAGTATTGGAGAGAAATCACTTCAACCAATCAGATATGTCCACTGTAACCAGCAGTTAACATCATCCAATAGAATGACTGGATTCAAGATTTTAAACAGGGGGTTCCTGATACAACTTTATGCAATGCTCAGTACAAAAACTGGGTGCGTTGGTAATGTTAACAACAAGTTCATACAGAATCCTAATGGATATTCTTATGGTGCTCTGAGAGTTGAATTGTGGAGACAATTTCAGTAATTGGAAAGGACATATAAAGCCTCAATAAGTCTTACACCTTATCCAAGTGACAGGCTGGCTCACAGTAAAATGTAAGACAGTAGTGTTACAATGGCTGACAGGGATTGTCTGGAAAAGGAATGACAAACCAAAAAAGGAAATTATGTGAAAAGTAGCCTTGGAATTGTAACTTGAGACAAGAATCTTTCAGTGATTTATCATCTCATGAAATTCAAGAAAATAATTATACTGGAGAGAAACCTTACAAGTGTAGATTCTGTGTCAAGACTTTTATACCACCAGTTAAGTTCTTACAGCATTCAGTAAAAATGTGCAAAGGAGACAAACCTTATAAGTGTAGATTCTGTGACAAAACTTTTACAGAAAAATATAATTGCAAATATCATGAGAGAATTCACACAGGAGAGAAACTTTTTAAGTGTAGATTCTGTGACAAAACTTTTGCTAAAAGAGGCAATTGCATTGTTCATGAAAGAATTCATACTTTAAAGAAACCTTACAATTGTAGATTCTGTGACAAAACTTTTACTCAAAAATGCTATTGCACTCAGCACGAAAGAATTCATACCGGAGACAAACCTTACAAGTGTAGGTTCTGTGACAAAACTTTTATAAACAAAAATAGTTGCATACGTCATGAGAGAATTCACACAGGAGAGAAACCTTACAAGTGTAGATTCTGTGACAAAACTTTTACACAAAAAGGTCCTTGCACTGTGCATGAAAGAATTCATACTGGAGACAAACCCTACAAGTGTAGATTCTGTGACAAAACTTTTAGTCATAAAGGGAATTGCATTAATCATGAAAGAAATCACATAGGAGACAAACCTTACAAGTGTAGATTCTGTGACAAAAGTTTTAAAGACAAAAAAAGTTGCATTTATCATGAGAGAATTCACACAGGAGAGACACCTTACAAGTGTAGAATCTGTGACAAATCTTTTATTAAAAAGGGCAATTGCATTGTGCATGAAAGAATTCATACTCTAGAGAAACCTTACAAGTGTAGATTCTGTGACAAAACTTTTACTCAAAAAGGCCTTTGCACTCAGCATGAAAGAATTCATACTCTAGAGAAACCTTACAAGTGTAGATTCTGTGACAAAACTTTTACTCAAAAAGGCCTTTGCACTCAGCATGAAAGAATTCATACTGGAGACAAACCTTACAAGTGTAGATTCTGTGACAAAAGTTTTAAAGACAAAAAATCTTGCATATATCATGAGAGAATTCACACAGGAGAGAAACCTTACAAGTGCAGATTCTGTGACAAAACTTTTATAGACAAAAATAATTGCATACGTCATGAGAGAATTCACACAGGAGAGAAACCCTTTACGTGTAGATTCTGTGACAAAACTTTTGCTCAAAAAGGCCACTGCTCTGTGCATGAAAGAATTCATACCCGAGAGAAACCTTACAAGTGTAGAATCTGTGACAAAACTTTTATAAACAAAAATTCTTGCATACGTCATGAGATAATTCACACAGGAGAGAGACCTTTTAAGTGTAGATTCTGTGGCAAAACTTTTACACAAAAAGGTCCTTGCGTTGTGCATGAAAGAGTTCACACAGGAGACAAACCTTACAAATGTAGATTCTGTGACAAAAGTTTTAAAGACCAAAAATCTTACAAATGTAGATTCCATGAGAAAACTTTTTCACAAAACAATTCTTGCAAACTTCACGAAAAAAATCATACTGGAGACAAACCTTTTAAGTGTAGTATTTCTGTGAAAACTGTCACCCCAGAAGGGAATTGCACTTACCATGAAAGAAATTACACTGGTGACAAAACTGTTACTCAAGGTTTTTGCACCGTCCATGAAACCATTCAAACTGGAGAAAAGCATGATACAAGCATGTTCTGTGGCAAAGAGTTCATAACAAAATTAGCCTGCACTAGCCCTAAAAAAATGCACACTTGTGAGAAACCAGACAAATGTGGAGTAGAATTCAGTCAAGGGAATAATTGCAAAATACACAAAACAACGCACAACAAAAGAAAACATGAATCAGATAATATACATGGAACTTTTGGCAAGGAAAGTGGGCATAACAATGTTCTAAATTCAGTGGGAGAGACAGATGAAATAAGTAATGTGGAAAATAAACTGGCAAACAATGATGCCATAACCCAACATATACATGAGGAAGAAAGAACAGAATACTGTCATAAAGATGATGACACTTTTACCACAGAGAATATCACCATTATTACTGACAATGATGTCTATGAAATACTTACTGGCATAAAAAGGACCACACCAGGTCTCATCACTACAATTATGAAAAATCCTTTCTACAGCTTTCAGTGATGTGTTCAGATGACAAAAACAGAAAACAAACTATTACCGTATAACTTTGCTATTTTTGGACAACTTCAGAAAAATCATAAATTGTAATTGATACTGTAATTGATTTATTTGTTCAGTTTTTATCAATAAGTATTACTCTTATACTGTGTAGGTTCAGCATTCATCAGACCATTTACTTCCATGATCAGACACATTATCCATGATAGATCATGTATAAAAAAGAATTGTACTTAGTTAAATACATGATATTACACTAGCAAATCCCTCTCCTCTACCTTTGTTGTTGAAAACAGAGAAATAGACAAGTGTTTCATTTTCAAAGAACTTACATTTATTAGATGAAAAGAATTTAAATTATTTAATCTTGTATGTAAGAAATTTATATATCCAATGACTGACAGACAGAATAAAGAGTAAAAAAAGAACATCTTTTTCTTTATTTAACAAAATATCAAACTCCAAATGAATATTTGATAATACCAGACAAAAAAGACGGCTCTTTATAGACTTTAAAGAAATAGATTCAATGACTGATAGGCAAGTCAGATGTTGAAAGAGCTCAAGAAAGAGCTCAAGAAAGAAAGAAAGAAAAATGGAAACAAGGCAGCAAAGCTGTCAAATGTACAGACAAAAACCAGAAAATAAAAACACAGGAAATAGGATACTGTCAATTTTGATGCACTAATGTATTATGCTTACTGTAACTGCATAGCCAACATCAAATTCTAATTCTGCATAACAGTGGATTAGGATGAAAGTAAAATGTGTAACAAGCATTAGACTGAGTTCCCATACCTAGATCAATCTAACAGGATCAATCCAACTCCAAGGGGTTTCTCACTAAATTGCTTTCAGCTTAAGTGGCTTAGGATTCTGGCTTGCCAGTTTTAGTAGGCGTGACAAACAGCTAAGCCACTTACAATGATTGCAATTTAGCGAGAATTCCCTTAGAGATAGATCGATCCACAGTTAGTGTGATAGGGTCTGGAAATAGTCCCTAAGGCTTCAGGCTGATAAGAGTTAAACTTTGGAAATGCCAGAACGAGATAAAGTGAAAATTTCACCAAAAAAGCTTAAACTCAATAAAATATATATAAATAATTTATTATATATATAATTTGATAGAGCTGTTTTTCTTATTTGGCCTGTATGTCAATCCTAAGAATCATTCTTGTAAATTAAAAAAATACAGAAAATGTTACAAAGGAACAGTACAGGGCTCCTGGTGGATGGGAGTGATAAGTCACATCTTGAAAATGCCAGTTTGAAAAATTAAAAATTAAAGTAAAAATTACAAAAATATTCCACTAAAGCTGCCATTCAGTCTAGCTGCATAACCATATGATATGAATCATCCAACTTGAGTTTAAACAGTGTAAACAACTCACAGAAATATAATATATTTTGTTTTACTACAAAAAGGGCAGTCATAGTTATTATTCTGATATCTGAACTTGTCATCAGACCATGTGACCTCCATAGATG